AAAGCAAAAAAAAAAAAAGAGTATAAGCCATATAGTGTACGGGAATCACGCTTTTTTTTTGTTGTTATTTTGAGACAGTCTTCCTATGTACTGTAGTAATCAGGCTGGTCTTAAACTTACCCTGTATTCTCAGCTGGCTTTAAATTCAAATGAACTTATTGGCTCAGCCCCCTCAGTGCTGAGATGGCAGGCATATACCTCTATACCTGGTTTAACTCAAGCTTTTATTTTTTTATTTTTATTTATTTTTTATTTTTGTGTGGAACCAGGGATTGAACTCAGGCCCTTGTGCTTGCCAGGGAAGCACTCATTATACTGAACCATCTCCCCGGCCCCAAGCTTTCCTTTCAATCGTCATTCAGAGTGAGTGTTATAGGCATTTTTTTCATTATCAAATTAATGATACAGTATTTTGTGAAAGAAATTTTAATTTTCAAGTCTTAATACAGATAAATATTCTTTTGCTTGTCTGTGAGCGTAGAGAATCACCCTGTTTCTGAAAGATGGAAAGGTGCCCATGTCTCTAGCTGGGTAGGAATTGTACCTGTGCTCAGTGGCAGCCCTTTGTGTTTGGCCTCAGCACATGGCTCGTGGTTATATTTGTCCTTTAAGAACAGGAGCTTTGAGCTGAATGTAATAGTGTACACTTGTAATCCCAGCATTTTGGAAAACATGCAGGAGGATCACAGATTCAAGCCCAGCTCACACAACTTAGTGATTAAGTAAGACCTTGTTTCAAAAGTAAAATATTAGGGCTGGCAAGATAGCTCAGTGGACTGAGTGCCTGCTTAGGCAAGCACAAGGACCAGGGTTAGATCCTTGGCATGCTTCAGACCCACCCATGGGTGCGCTGAGCCAGCCACCAAGACCTGGTGTGGTGGCTCACACCTGTAATCCTAGCGCTGGGGAGGCTGAAAACAGGAGGATCACTATGAATCTGAGCTGCATAGTGAGACCTTGTACCAAATTCAAAATGAAATGAAGTAAAATGGGTTGTAAGTCACTGCAAAGGTCTTAAAATCAATTCTAGTGCAAAAAAAATATATTTTTTTTTATGACCTTGTGCTTGCCAGGCAGGCACTGTGCCACTGAACCATGTCCCCAGCCCCAACAAAACCAATTTTTTTTAAGTCCACTGAACTAGCTCACTGGCCCCACAGAACCAGATATTTTATTTTTA